GCCCTCCACAACTAAGAATGAAGGACAACAACTTGGCTGTTCCCCTTCCCCAATTCCCCAATAAAATCTTTATTAAAAAAAAAAAAGAAGAAAGAAAGCCATGTGTAGCCCCAAAGAATGCTATTTAAATGGTGAAATTTCAAGCACAGTGACCAGTGTGTAGGAAGGCACTGGGCCTCTGTCCCCAGCCCGGCCCTTTGCTCAAGGTGAAGTGTGCCTTCCCACATGTGTGGGAAACACTTTTGGGTAAAGTGTGTAGAAAGCATTCCGGGACCTACCTGGCACTTCAAATTCTGCTGTTCAGAAGCTCTGCCTTGGCCTGCATTGACCAGCATCCCTATTTTGTCTGTTGTCAACCTGAAGGCCTCTAAAATGCCAGCTTCAAGCAGGGTTGGGAACTGGCCAGTGTATTTGGGCCTGTGGCCAGGAGAGGGCTTGGAGTAGTTGATAAGATGTGTTAGGTCTCCAGAGTTCTGGGTTTGGAGTGACTTTCAGCTGCGGGAGGGAGGCCAGGCAGGCTCCCCTTGCAGCCATGGCCTGGATGATGGAGACCAGAACCCAAGGAGGGCAGGGAGGGCCTCTACCCCCAGTGGTAGGCCCAGTCACCTATACTCGCTTGGGAAAGCATACTTTACCCCATGCTAAAGGATGGGCTGGAGCCGGAGGCCCAGTGGCATCCTGCACTTGGGGCAGACCCACCAGCAGCCAAGGTACCTGCATATATTAATATATCTCTAGCCACCTTCTCTCTCTTGTTGAAACATTCCTCTCAAAGCTCAAGAGCTGACACTGCTCTCTCCCTGGGAAACACTGCGGACCCTGCTTAATCTACTGAAGCCAGACCAATGCCTTCCTCTCACCTTAGTTTCCTTCTGGGTGTGCTCAGGTCTAATCAGATTTAGGGGAATTTCTAGTCATAGATCAGGAAGCTGCCCTTTATCCTGCCAGGCCTTGGATTATTCATAGCTTTTAAGAAAATTTATTTTGTTATGGGAAACTTTCAAACACACGCAAAAATAGAACATGAGAAACATATATAAGAAATATATGAGAAAATAGAATAAGAACCCGCTATATGCCCATCACCCAGCTTCAATAATTATGGGCTTATGGACAGTCTTATTCATCGCTGCCCTGTCATCCTTTTTCTGTACAGGTTCCTTTTGTAAGTCAGAGACTGAGGGGCTCAGAAAGCCAAATGGCAGATTTGGGGTGGGAGGATTTTGTGGAAAAGGCGCTCTGTCTTCTCTCAAGGCAGCATTAGGCATTCCCCTTTCGATTTCTTGGCCTCTGTGGATGACATCCCACTCGAACCAGTTCAGAGTGTGAGCAGCACTGGGTCCCTGTCTTAGGAGGAGAGGACCAAAGGGGGTTCCTCCATTGACAAGCTCCTTGAAGCTACTGCTCCTGCTCCAGAGAGGAGGTGTTTGATGGGTGTGTCTAGGGGTACTTCGCTCCATTGCACCAGGAGCCTCTTCTAGGCTCTGACAGAACCGTTCCAGCTGGCAGAAATTCCCACTGGGCCAGATTCAAACTACACAGCATGGCTCCTGTTCTCATGGGAGTCTCTTAGGAATGGAGTCGTTCAAGCCTTGATGTCCTTGCTTTCCACCAATGCACCATCACAAAGCTGATGGCCAAGAACAATCCTTTCCCCCTTCCCCCTGGAAAGCAGTGTACAGGGTTCCTGCTCTAACCTGTCCTAGAAGTGATAACGATAGATGAAAATCCCATGCTTCTTTTTTGCTTGTCTTTCTGCTCTTTTCCCGGTAGCCCAGGGCTATGAAGTTCACATCTGATGTTGGGCATGGTCACCCAGCATTACTCATCCCTGCTGCTGCTGCTGTTAACAGCAGTAATAAAAAGGGCTACCCCTCACCCTACACTTTGCTGTGTGCCAGTGCTGGCTAAGCACTTGACCTATGTTAACTCCTTTAATCCTCACAATGACCCTATGAAAGGGGTACCATTAGGACGCAATTTATAGCTAGTCTGCAAAACTGGAAGGGAAGCAAGAATAGTTCTGTTAATAACTGCACTGTCCATGAGAGCCCCAAACTGGAATTAACTGAAATGTCTATCCACAGTAGAATGCAAGGGAAAAAACTCTGACCTTTGAGCTCCAAAGCTGGATATTTTCTATGCCCATGACCAATACCTGATTGGGTGCCTGGAACCTAGGACCCCATTTAAGGTGTTACATCCACACATCCCTGCCCAGTGTGCCAAGATCTGCCCACCTGCTATAATAGTTTAATAATGTGCAATACATAATTAACAGTCTCAGGAATACTGTAACAATATGACTATAATCATTGTGTGTGCACACACATGTGCCAGACACAATGGCCTGAGGCTGTGTGAGGCAGAGCAGGGGGCGCAAGCCTAAAATGCCAGCCCTCCGGAGGCCAGTTTGTTTAGCAGTCACTGTATTAAAGGATTCCCCTGGGCCAGGTCTAAGGCCTAAATTGAGGAAGACACCTGCATACCCTCCAGTGATGGGGATGGCTCACCAAATGTGGTGGAGACAAATAGACTGTCACATCATCCTTTCATGTATTTATACAACATTTATTTTATACCTCCCGTGTGCAGAGTATTGGAAAAGGCCTTGGAGACACAGAATAATGAAGCAAAGACCCTAAGAGCCCTTGTCCACCCACCACCCATTGTCTCCAATACAATAGTAATGGTCTAGAGGAGTGTTCCTGAAACATGGGTGGGGGTAGGGAGAGGGTCAAGTGTTGTTTTGATCAGTTATATACTATTAGTAATTATAACAACTAATTCCAGGAAAACAGTAACACTTAGAGCCTATAGGGGATAAAACTATTAAGTATACATTTACAAAGACACCTAGTAGAAAAGCTAACGTGAAAGTCTGACAAGATCAAATGTTGACGAAAATACAGAACAACCGAAACTCGCGTGAACTTTTGGGGAGATGTCAGTAGGTATATGGCTTTTTGGGAAACTGGCAGTACGTACTAAAGCTGAACACATGCATAACCTATGACCCAGCAGTTCCACTCCTGGGTATGTACACAACCAACACGAGCTTATATCTACCAAGATATGCGCAAGAATGCTTCTAACTGCACTGTTCCTGACAGCCCCAAGCTAGAATCAGCCCAAATGTCTATCCACAGTAGAACGCATTATGGAAGTTGTGGTAAAGCCCCACAGTAGATAATACTAGTATACAACCATGAGTACGAATGAACATATTGCTATACACAGCCACATGGACACATCTCACAGACATGAAATTGATCAAATAAGTCAGTATACACAAAGAAAGTGCTCACTGTATGATTCTATTCATATAAAAAGTACAGAAAAAAGCAACACTTATCCATGGCATTGAAAGTCAGAATGGTTACCTTTGGGAGGGATAGAACCAGAAGGGGCTTTCTGGGGTGGGGGTGTGGGGGGGTGACTCTACCTCCTCATTTGGGTGTTGGTTTCATGTGTATGTTCAGTTTGTGTCCAGATTCCCTGTTTGAGATAGGAAAATAAACGAAGATCACCCAAATGAGAACAAACAGAGGCTATTTCTTCAGAGCTTGCAAGAGAGTCAGCCACTATTATGTACATTTGCAGGGGTGGGGGTGGGGACTCAAAGGCAGGCAGGGAGTGGGAAAGCTTTGTGGTGAAGAAAGAAAGGAACACTGGAGGGGGTGCCTGGTTCTGACTAGAAGAAGGGCATCTCTGTGATTGGTTGGGGAGCATATTTGGCTTTCTCTGGTTGGTCCTGAGTTGGAAGAGAGAAAGGAGTGGTTGGGGATTTGGAAGAAGTTGGCCGACATTGACCACGTCCTGACGGTTCTGGGCCCATTACTGCAGGGGTTGTGGCTTGGCTTTCCAGGCTGGTTACTGTGAAGGTTACTGTCAGAGTTCTTTGTCATATATGGTCTGGCCATTGTCCATTTGTGTATTCAGTTTCTCAGAGGGAAGGGCATGGGGCCTGAGAGGGACCTCCACTGCTGGAATAGGAGGCAGGTGAGCACGTACACATTCTCCTCCAGCTCCGTTTCCCTCCCTGGGGTCGGTGGTGCCACTGTGAAGATGAGGCCAGTGGCTAGAGCGCTCTGCTCCAAGTCAGCTCCAGGAAATTGCTTAGCTACTGCACCCACCAAGGTTCTTTTTTCCTTTAAGATCTAGCTGAAAGCCCAGCTCCTCTTGGAAGCCTTCTTTGATTAGGCCTCTCTCATTTATTAGCCTTCCTAAATTCCCATGGCTTACCTCACACCCTGCAGTGTAAATTCCCATCTCCTTGCCTGCATTTAAAAAACCTACACTGAATATTTTCCTTCTACTTACTCAATGCTGTTTCTGAAAAAAATCCTGACAAAACCAAAACTAAACCTCCTCCTCAAACCCACAACTTTTTTTTTTTTTTTTTTAAGATTGTATTGGGGAACTGAGGGAGGGCAAAAGCGTTGGGGAATCGGGGATGGGGAACAGATAAGTTGCTGTCCTTGCCCACAACTTTTTATTGAAGTAAAAATATACATACTGAAAAAGGTACTCAGACAGAAGGGATAGGGTTGGGGTGGAGTGGGGGGGTGGCAAGAAGGGTGGAAGTGGGAAGAGAAAAATGGGT